GGAAGATACGAACTTTGGAGAGAATTTTATTAAATGGGTAAGATTGATTTACACCTCACAGAAAGCACAAATAATTGTTAATGGAGAATTAACAAAACCCTGTGAAATACAAAAAGGCACAAGACAAGATGCCCATTGTCTCCACTCCTGTTTATTTTAATTCTTGAAATATTGAACAGCGATATCAGACAAGATGAGAGAATTGTGGGAGCAAAGATCAAAAAAACTTTAATGTTTAATGTTAAGAGCATTTGCTGATGATTTGGTGTTAGTTTTGCAGGATCTGTTAAAGGGAATAGAAATATTAATGGGAAAATTAAAAGAATTTGGTATGCTAGCTGGTTTTAAGATTAATAATCAGGAGACAAAGATGTTAACAAAAATATGAAAATAGAGGATCAGACAGAACTGATGAAGAAAACTGGTTTTAAGATTGAGAAAGTAAAATATTTGGGTAGCACTATAACAAATACAAATTGTATGTTATTTCAAAATAATTATGTTAAGATACGGAATGAAATTAAAAGGGACATGCTAAGATGGGAGAAACTACAACTGTCATTGTTGGGGAGAATTTCTGTGATAAAGTTGAATGTTGTGAGATACTAGAATTTTATCAAGGGGAATATAAAATGAAATTAAGAGAACAACTGATGACAGAGGGACATACGTAGTTGTCAATGGTTTTCTTACTTACAATTATCAGAAAGATTTAAAGTAGACAAAAGAATTCATGGTATTGAACTAAGACAGAATTTGAAATGGAATTGTGTAGAAATGATGAACATTTAATTGCTAAAATGTACAAACTTTTATTGAAATTTGAAACGGAAGAAGAACAGGTCAAAGAATATATGGTAAAGTGAGCTAAAAACTTTGGTTATAATATACAAATGGAACAATGGGAAAATACTGGTTAAAAGTATTGAAATTTACATTACGCTATAATCTTGAGAATTTCTATAAAATGATGCACCATTGGCTTATGACACCAGAAAAATTATCCAGACTGTATAAAGGTACTTCAAATTTATGTTGAAAATGTGAACAACAAGAAGGGTCACTTTATCATGGTTGGTGGACATGTAAAAAAGCTAGTAAATTTTGGGCTCAAATTGTCAGGCCTAGCCCAAGGAACTCCAAGAGACCATGTAAATTCAGTCCAGCAGTGTTTATTAGCTACAACCTCTAGCAAGAATCTCCCCAGCCTGAACCCCCAGCCCCAAAGTAATGCCAGCCACAACATTGTGAATTCCTC